AGAGGGATCATTTCCAACTATTATTGTCATGGGGGTGTGGGGAATCCCTTCTCTATCCTACCTGTCCTCCCCACCAGCACTGTTTAAAGGAGCTCTTTTAATGCTCCTTGCAAAACCGGTTTCAAGGTTTTGAGTTCTGTAAACTGTTGCCTGTCCATTAAACTCTGTACGGTTCCTTCAAATCTGAATTATAATCTAGCTGGATAGAGTATTATTGATGAAGTGCTCATTTCACTGTTGTTGATTTATTTTCCCCTTTTTGTTTGGTCCCCTCACTGCTACTTTGCCTCTCAGTGGAAGTCACTTGTCACATAAAAGGCCACTTAAATTTGGGGGTGAGGCTATGGTTCAAGTGGTAGAGTCCGTGCTTGGTTATGTGTAAGGCCCTGGGTTCAATCCCATCACCACAAGCAGGACCACATGTGGCCCCTACTACTACCAACAACAAAACTATGACTATATTTGCTTCCATTTGTGGAAGGACAAAATCCGGTTCCTTTGGCAATCTTTCAGAAAACAGAAAGTAAGACAAAACTGGGTGCCTTTAGAGTGGTATGATAGAAAAACAAATCAAAGGGGGAAGAAGAGAACAATAATGGGTTATCAGGCATCAGGGTTTCAGTTTAACCAGTGATCTGAGTGAGGGGTAGAACCATATACCCAAAACACAAATTCAAAAGAACTGAAAACATGAGCCTTAAGCGGCAACCACTGAAACTTTGCAATGTGCCTGTCAAGTTGACAGGGAGGGATAGAGCAAGGGTTGGGATGGGGAGGAAATCTAGAACACTGCTGGAGGGAAGCGGACACTGGTACAGGGATTAGTGTTGAATGACTGTAGACCTAAAACGCAATAGTAACTTTGGAATCATGGCTCTTTAATATATTTTTTAATAGGAAAAAATAAAAGAAAATAGGAAGCCAACCAAGTTTCAGTTTTACTAATTTGATCTTAATATATTTTTCCTGGCCAGAAGAAGGAAATATATTTCTTCACTGTTAGAGGCTTCCATCTCTAGGAAGAGATTATTCTACCTGCTCAGTGGAACTCTGGTAAGGACAGAGAAGGTGTAAAGGAGAAAGAGCTATTCATATCCCTGGTACTTTTTAGAGCACTGAAGACCATTTGTTGAGTTTTTGTACTATAACCTGCCAAATTTTTTGGCTCGTTTGATCTACGTTGATCCTGCTGCATCCAATATTCTATCTGTGGATTTTATCATTTTGAATATAATGTGTCTTGGAATTTTCCTAATTGGGTCTATTTTAACTGACATTCTTTGTACCTCTTGGATCTCAGTACCTGTAACCCTCAACTCTGGAAGTTCTTACCGATATTTCAACTACTGTTTCTTCATCACATTTGCCTTCCTGTTCTCCAGGGACTCTGATGTTCTTATATTGTTCTTTCTGAACTCAACTCATAGTTCTCTGGCATGTTATTTCTTTTCTAGCTATTTTCCACCTTTTGTTGTTTCCTAGCATGTTCCTCCTTATTTTGGAGCTATGTGGTCTTTTGCTCATCATCTAATATTCTGCTGCTCAGAGCTTTTATTTAATTTTATATCAACTACCATGTTCTTCTTTTCTATCACTTGACTGTAGTAGTTTCTTCATTCTGTCTTTCATACGTTCATGTGCTTTGCTGACTACCTGTGCTATAGTTTCTTTCAATTCATTAAACAGCCTGATCATAGTGTCACTAATGACACTGTTGGAGAATTATTGGTGTTCTTTTCTCTTTGGTGACATTGTTTTGTCTCACTGAGCTTTGGTGGGCTTTTACCTGTCATTCCCATTCTCTAGTGTATCTGTTGTGCTGGGCACAAGGCTTTGTAGTTACCCCACTTCCACTACTATCACCACTAATGATACTGAGGGATTAACCTGAAGATTGATTGCTGTCTTCTCTGCCAATCCTCACAGAATGACAGTAAGAATAACTGTGAGCAGCATGCAACTTTTTAAGTAGTTATGTTGTGCAGCAGCGTACTCCAGGAGCATGGGTCCTTAATGTGACGCAGGTTGGGTGTGGAGGATGCTGGGACCCACCTGGTAGGGAAATGTTCTGCTTCCGAGTTCAGAAATAGGCCAAGTGATAGCAAGTCTCACCTAGTATTTAAAGCAAAAGGTTAAATAACTCCTTTATCAGATTACCCTTCTCCACTGACTTCCTATTGTTTTTAGAGGATAAATGCAAAATACTTGGCAATGATTGGCCTTTATGATCTACTTCAGTTTCATTGAGACACCTGAGTGCTGAGGTCCAGACCCTACACCACTTCCCAGTTTGGGAAAGCTGAAATTACCAATATTACATGGTTACTCCAGTTCATCTTTCTGTGTCAGTCTATGAGTCATTTCTTCAGAAGCATTCCTTGAAAGATCAGCAAACCTTCACTGTTTACAATAGTCTCCTTTGTAGTAATTATCACAACTATAATTATCCGTTTTACAATTATTTAGTGTCTTTATTCAGCAGACTTCTGCCACCATTTAAAGCTTCTGCCACCATCTAGAGTCTAACACAGTGACTGGAATGAATCATTTGTCAAGTAAACTTTACCAAGTGAATAAATCTCAGTCCTGAACAAACAGCGAGCATGACCACCAAATACAAATGCCTTCAACACTAAATGCATTAATGAAATTTGGGATTAAGAGTATGCCATGTTCTTTTTTGTCTGGGGGCCACACCTGGCAACGCTCCTGGATTACTCCTAGCTCTGCACTCAGGGCACACTCCTGGCAGTGCTCAAGGAACCACATGGAATGCCTGGAACTGCCCCACACGAGGCGAGAACCCTACTCACTCTACAGCTGTACTCACTCTACAGCTCCAGGAGTATGACAGGCATTTTAGAAAAACTAAACCTTACTTTCCTGGAAACCTAAAATCCCAAGAATCTTTGATAGATCCATAAGTAATCTGTCTGTAACTAGGAGAGCAATCAGAACCTCAAACTTTATTATGTGTAACAATTTTTTAGTAAAAAATGATACTTGGCTATTTTAAGAAAATAATGATGCAAAAATATAACAATATTATAAACTGAGTAAAATTTAGGAATCCTCAAGACATGGTCATGTCAATAAATATTACATGGTAAAATAGAAATGCCTAAGTCTTATGAAAGAAGCCAAAGCTCTATCTTTAGCAATAATTCAACATAAAAGACCATAAAAGACAGATGGGTATGAAAAGTCTCACCCCGTTTTGAGTATTTAATTTACAGCCCTAAAATTGTAAACTGTAAAATTCTCACTTTCACTGAACCACAAATCACTGATAAATCTGTTACACATTCCATCCATGTATTCTCATAACGGTGAAGCTCAAAATTTTCCAAGGCAGGTATCTGAAAATGGGCGTGATCTTGAAGCCTCCTGATATGATTGAAAATAATGAGCTCACACTCTGTAATTTTCACACAAGAAGGAATTTATACAGTAACAAAAATACGAATCATATCTACATGTGGTGTGAAGTGGGAATAAAAATGTAAAAAGGCTGGCTTTCCAGTACTCTTTTCCTTAGAATTAACCTACTAAACCATCCTCAAATGGAGAGGAAGGTAAGAACAATTACTGAACACTTAACACATGCCAGGCACTGCTGTATTTTACCAGCATTAAATCATGCAATAATCACTCTCTCCTTGGTTTCCCTGTTTTACAAGAATAAGGAAGGACACAGAGAGAGGCTTAATAACTTCCCCCAAGGCTGGTAGAAAGCAAGGAAGAGGCTTACATGCCCACCGTTCAACTTTAAGTCTAAGCTCTCCACGACAAGGCCCATTTCTCCGGAGAGTCACGGGATGATCATCTGAAATCGTCCAGGAGAGCTTTAATTTTGCAAGGCAGGAAGTTGACTGTTTCAGTTTTCCACTAAGACTCAGTGGTTTCGGTGAAGGCTGGGAGGCAAGTGTCAGCAAGAGAGACACTGTAGGCCTAGGGTTTTTTCAAGACAGACGAGCATGCATCAGAAGTAAGCTGCACTTCTTACTGATGGCTGAATTAACACTACTCACAAGTGGCCACAAGTTGGGAAGGAAAGCAAGGGGAATCCTATTTCTGTTCGGTCTAGAGGGAGAAAAATCCTGCTCAAGCAGATGTGTTCTACACTAAAAGACGCAGACCTTTCCTTTCGGGCGAGTCAGGGGAGAAACAAGAGAGGAAGAGGAATCAGGAGGAGGTCAGACCTGGACCCCTGAGCCCGGAACGGGCCGCCTGCGCTGGGGTGCAACTGGGAAGGAGACATTTCGGAGCGTGCAACGGTGATCACCTGCAAGGTGAGGGCGTGAGCACAGGGCTACAGCGGGTGCTGGAAGGGGACGGCGCACTGACCCTAAAACGGGCCCACGGAGCGACTTTCCGTGTGACCGCCCCCTCCTCCCCGCTAGAAAGTGACCCTGCTGGTGCTGGATGTGACCACGACGATCTCTTAGACATAAACTTGAGCAGGAGCTGGGGTAGGGATGGGGGTGGGGGGCGTCTCGAGGGCGTCAGGAAGTGTCTGGTGTTCCTCTCCGGACTGGGGCTCTGGGTGCGGTGGAAAGAGCCGAAGCCGAAAGCGCTGGCCTTGAGGATGTCCAGGTACTGGGGGGAGGTTGGGGGGAGGAGGGGGGGGGAGGCGGCGGCGCCCAGAGGGGGCCGCACCACAGAGGCGGAGACTCGGCGTCCACGGGGAAGGGGAGGGGGCAGAGGGATGGTGTCCGGGCGGGTGGGGGAACCCCCGGGGAAGCAGACGGGGAGCGGAGTCCGGCCCGGGGTGGGGCTGAGGGGCGGGGGGTGAGGGCCGGGCAGGGCCGCCCGCAGGAGCGCCGGTCCCGGGCCCAGCGGGACGGGACGGGACGGGACGCGACGGGACGGGACGTGGCCTGGGGGAAGCGGGCGGGGGCGGGGGGCGGGCAGAGCAAAGGCCTCCTGGAACCGCAGGAGGCGGGTGGGGGGACGCGGACGGCCCGAGGAGCGGCGGGGGGACGGGAGGGGGCGCCTAC